GGGGGGGGAGGCCGGATAGACGCGTTTCGTTCCCGTTCATAACATGGTTACAAAAACATACACATATGTGATCTAATATCCACCCCACCCTTTTTTTATCCTCTCTAATTTTTTCTTTCTTTCTTTTTCTTCAGTGTTTGCTGTCTGAACATGAGTACAGCCTCTGATTGTAGCTGATATTTTATCTTGGACGGCTTGCTTTTTTTTGTTGCAAATCCATTGTCAATTTTCTTTGTACCTACTAGACTTGTAAACTGGACACGCCTTTATACTTGCACAGTTGTCAGGCTGAAAGGCAATGTATGTAGCGTTAGGTTGGGAGCGACATTGGCAAATCCTACTTCTTCACTATTCTTACAACTGTTTCTGTTATAAGTGTTTAAAATGTAGGCGTTTTTATACCCCATTTACAAAATTAAGATCATGTAGGAGAGGCGGGCTTCTGAACCTGATTGAGATTCCCCCCCAGTCCTAAATGACGCTTGAGTGGGTGTACTTCTTTTTAACCGATAAAGAACGCTTTGTTAACTCTTTTGATATTGATCTAGCAATCGGTACCGTTCTCTTTTGTCACCCAGAGTCCACAATGAAGACAACGTTCCCCAACTGCGGCAGAGTGTAGACAGCTGAGCATGACATCTTTGTCCGAGAGTGGTCCTGGGTCAAATCGTCAGTTTTTCAAGCCCATTCCAGACTCTAGAGACATTTACATTGCTTCGAGGATTGTCCGGAGTGCCTGTGCTGACCTCACGACCTCACCGCCATGTGACGTGTGGGAGACAAGGCCAAAAGTCATTCAGATTAAGACCGAGCGAGAAGATTTTTCTCGGGAAGTCAGCCTGTCGGAGAAGAGGACAAGGTCGATGAGATCGTCCCCGGGAGTTGGTATGGCTCCTGGAGAGCTTCACGCCGAGCCATCGTCTGTTCGGGAACGGAACCCGGTGTTTGAGAGTGGAGACAGGAATACGTCACCAGCCTTCCGAGACAGGGTTGGTTCTGTCCCCGAAACAACAGCCAAGTCCGATTTCGAAGGTGACGATGATGAGAAATCCAAGGTCGATTTGACTCGCCCAGCTGAGTCGTCGGAGGGAAAAATAGATATCCTGCCAAGTAGTGACAATGATGCTGGTCGCAGTGTGACAAAGGACATGTTTTCGGATACTCATGAGGCGTTTCTCTCGCGGACGATAGCGGGGAAAAAACACACCGACGTCAACACAAGCGGCCGTGAATCTGGAGGAAACAATTCTCTGGACGTGAGAGAGATTAGGCGCGACCACGAGGACTGCACACGTCGGGAAGAACTCTCCTCAGGTCGGAGCGGAAAATCCCCTCTGCTTTCTTCAGCAACGTCGAGGTTACCCGAAGGTATGGACGAAGACCCCGCAGTGATAGTCTCGGAGTCGGTCAGAAATCGTCTGGATCGGGCTGATGGTCCTTCTTCTGTTCCTCCGTCTGGCAGATCAACACCGCAGTATTCACGGCCAATTTCAAGACCACACTCAGTCAGCTCAAATCTCACTAATTGTCTAGGACATCTGAGCTTAAGCGAACGCCCCAGATCGGCGGAAAGTTTTTTCACTGGCCAGAATGAAGCCTCACGAGAAGTGATAATGGCATCTCCTGCTATACCTGGCCCTAAATCGAACGAGCTCGTCGTATCTGAGGTAAAGTTTGAGCCGAAGGACTATAACGAAATGCCGCTGCTTCATGACAAACATCAATCTGTGCGCACCGACTGTGATGCAAAGAGCTCGCGTATTTCCACCACGTCTATCCCAGACGGACACTGCGTGAAGGAGTTTATCCCTTTACAGACGCCTTCAGGCCAAGTGCTCGACATGACCACCCTCGAGGCGTCACGTGACCACGATCGTCTCTGGCACCAGCACACCACTCAGGAGTTCTCTCTCCTCGCCGACTTCCCGGAACAGGAGGATCGGTTGAATGGAAGCATCAGGTGCAGCGATTCGCCTCCTGTCCACCACCCGACCAGGCCCGCCGAGTCCTGGTCAGCTGAAGTCGTTGACCACTCGGGCATGTTCGGCCCTGGCATCTCAGACAACTGTGTGGTGTGTGGGGAGGTAGCCAACGGGAACTTCTTTGGCGCCGTGGTCTGCTTGCCGTGCAAGGTAAGCAACTTCCTGGGGTCGCTCCGTGCAACAACAGTGGTTCTTCTTGGGGGGGGGGGGGTCCCGATTTCCAGTCCCTCTCTTTTCTTTTTCACCTTTTAAATCTTTTAAAATTTGTATGGTCTTGGTTTATTTCATACCAATTTTTTGTTCCAAGTATTAAATTCTAATTTATAACTTTTTTTAAAGTGAGAGTGAAGTTTTCGTTTTGAATATGAATCTACAATTGCATTTTATTTTTACTGTTATGCTTGCCATTGTATATTTATTTACACTGTTTATGTCTTTATCTGTTAGGGCTTGGATGATTAAAATCATGAACCGACAGAAACGTGAGAAAGGCTTTTTTCGGGGGGGGGGGG